GTCGGGTGAGGAGGGCCCCTCGGACCATGGTGGGGCCTCCGGTGGGAATGAGCAGATGGCTGGGGACCTTGGTGGCGGAGGAAGGTGGCAAACCAGAAAGGAGGAGGAAGGCCAGGACCCGCAGAAGCAAGGTGTCGGTGTGGAAACCAGCCTCCTGTGGCTCAGGGCGACTGGGGAGGGAGGCAGGGGGCTTTGGGAAGGGGCGTGGAAGCACCGGACTCGTGTTAATTTTCTAAATTTTTGTTGGTCCGATAAGGTCAAGGAGTTACACGTGAATAAGGTTAAGGAGACACACGTTTGGCAGGTACACACGTGTGACGTGACACCTGGAGTTTGTTCTTTCAGGTCAAAGAAAACAATTACCGCGGACACGGCGACAGCGTGGACCAGCTGTGTTGGCACCCAAGTAACCCTGACCTGTTCGTCACAGCGTCTGGAGACAAAACCATTCGCATCTGGGATGTGAGGACTACCAAGTGCATCGCTACTGTGAACACTAAAGGTGACTTCGGAGAGGGGGCAATGGGAAGACACGTTACTTACCTTCGTTCAGCAAGCATATTCCAAATGCCTTTTCTGTGCCTGGCCTGGCGCTAGTTAGGGGTCATCCTGAGCTCCAAGGACATCACAGTTTAGTGCATAAAAAAAAAAAATCATCTAACAAAATATGACACGGTTCATCTTAGAATGGAGCTGTCTATGTTATACACTCTATAAAGTGGGTACCCAGAATGGAAATGCTGAGGTCTGCCTCGGGGAGCCAGGGAGGGCCTCACGGAATTTGGGCTGACCCTTAGAGCAGCCATAGGAATGGAGTGGTCGGTGCGATGGGAGGGGGAACTGCTCACAGGCTAGGATGGCTGAAGGTTGGATGGTCTTGGGGGTCTGGAAGAAAATGACCTCTGCCTTTATAGACTCTGTTATTCACCAGTGTCGTCCTATAAACCTTGAGGTAATTTACCGTGTTTTATTGATTAAGATGTCATTGGTTATAAGATACACCAATATTTTAAGTGCCATTAGGAAAGGAAATAAAGCTTCCAGATAACAACGTATACCACAAATTTTGACATGCATTTGATGCATTTTAAAATGCATCATAGTTAATAAAATATGAAAAAAATATGCATCTTCGAGAATTGGTAGAGTTGATGAGATTTTTAATTGATGTGTGCAGTGTGTGCCACTGGACTTTGTTGACAAGACTCCTACCTGTAAGTGGAATAATGTAGTCATTTCCCATGATGCATAAGTGGGTGAACATTAAAAATCGGATATATATATATATATGTTTTAATGTCTATTAAAAAAGAACCAGCTCATCAAAATTATTGCTAAATTAAAGCTAAATTAAATTTTTTGAGTCTATTTTAAAGAAAAGTATAGCTGTTACATGATTAGGACAAAAATTGTGAAAGTGGCATGTGAATGACTGGAGTTTGGGAAATGCTGGTGTAAGAGAATTAGAGGCGTTGGAGCCAAGTCTAGTGGCTCTTCCAGCTTTGACAGTTTGGCTCATCGCTCTTGTCTTCCATTTCTTCATCTGTAAAATAGGGTAATGAATTGCTAATACAGAGTGTTGTGAGGACCAAAGGGGGAATTGGTAGATGAAGGTCCCCAGCTCTTAGTTTCTGATTCTTAGGTGCTAGTTTGCTGGAACCAGGATCAACAGTAATTAACATAAATGGAGAGGTCTGGTTGGAAGCCTGAATTGGGCTCTTGGAGATTCCAGGGTGAATACCTGCGTTTTATTACCTACTGCTGACTCAATGGCCTAAAGCAAACTCCCCCAACCTGATAATCTTACCTTTACTAAACAATCACCTTTGATATGTCTGTTTGCATTCCTGAAAGGCAATTGTGTATTCTAGTACAAAAAACAAATGGGAACAGAAATTCAGTGGAACTTAGTCCCTTGAACTAGGTTCACAACTGACTTTCCCCATAATTTTCAAATTTATATTTCTTGTCTTGTGTATTAATTTTTGCGTCAGCCCTTTCTCCAGGTCTTTGAACCTTAGGCCACGCTGGCCATGGCTTCACACTAGTTGCCTTTGTTACTAATGGTGTGGCCTCACCCCATAACAAAAAAACAGAATTTCCGGAGGATGAGGCCCAGAAGTCAGGATTTTAAAAAGATTCCCAGGTGATTCTAATGTGCAGCCAAGGTTGAGAACCACTGTTCTAGGATAACAAAATAAACTTCTTGACGATTGTGGGCAAACGGATGATCTTACTGATTATTTCTGGTTTTCTAGGGGAGAACATTAATATATGTTGGAGTCCCGATGGGCAGACCATAGCCGTAGGCAACAAGGACGATGTCGTGACATTTATTGATGCCAAGACACATCGTTCGAAAGCAGAGGAGCAGTTCAAGTTTGAGGTCAATGAAATCTCCTGGAACAATGACAATAACATGTTCTTCCTGACAAATGGCAACGGTTGCATCAACATCCTCAGGTGAGGGGCTTCTAGCCTAGGGAACTGTCTCACTTTAACAGCGGGGTGCGCTGATGGTTGCAGAGATGAATTAGGTGTGAGTCTGTCCTGAGGAGCTTAACGGATATACAGTACAGTATTGTAATAAAGAACCCTGACCTCTGTTGAGTACCTTCCAGCCGGGCACCTTGTATTTTGCTGGGTCCTCACAGAAATTATAGGGGTTTGATGTTCTTCCCATTTGATAGATAAGGATCTGGGGTTCAGAGTAACTGGTCAGCTGGTGAGCGCTAGAACTGGATGCACCTGGAATTGTGGCTGATTTGTACCCTTGAAGTCTCAGCTTAAATACATTACATTCACTGCACGGATGCCATCTCTCCCCTCCCTCCTCAAGGTCAGAGGCTTATTGTATGGACTTCCTTTTGGAACCAGTTCTCATTTTACGTTGTAATTGTATGTTTACTTCTCAGTATCCTCCATGAGAATTAAGGTCCATGAGGGTAGAGACTGTGGTTAACTTGCTTACTGTTGAATCCCTAATGCCTAGCCCAGTCCCTGCTACACATAGTAAGGATTTCAGTAAATACTTGCTCTCTAAATGAATGAAATGGTGGGATTGAAATTCAGGTCTTTCTGGTGCTCTTCCTTCTGCTGTCCTGGGTGAGCAATGCCAGGCAGAGTGAAATGGGTTTTACATTGGAGAGGCTGGGTTTGCTGTGGAATCCCCGGGAAGGAAACTTGAGGGTTGAAAGAGGCAGCTTCTGAGTTTGACTTTGAAAGATGAGTAGAATTTTCAGAATCAGAAAAAGAGAACTGCACAGTTGCCAAAGCAAGTGTGAGTGAGCATGACTTATTTGGAGAGTAGTTGGTCAGGGTTGCTGAGAGTGGTGGCATTTAAGGTATTGAAAAGAGGGTCCCAACATGGCAAGATAAAGTTGAAATATGATTTGGAACCAGATCACAAAAGGCTTGGATTTCTGTGCTTGGTAACTTGAATTTTATTCTCTAGGCAGTGGGGATTCTGTAACTTTCTTTCAAGCCTTTTTAAAACAGATATGGAAAACCACATAAAACGAATGTGTAGCTTAATGAGCAGTTATATGCATGACACCTGTGTAACCCCACTCAGGTCAGGGAATAGTACTGTGCTGGCCATATCCGGAGCCAGTCCGTAGGCTTTATCCTAATTATAACCCACTCTCCTGAAAAGTAAACACTGTCTGGAGTTTTATCGTTATTTATAGTTTTAGCTAGCAAGTATGTACAGTGGGGCCTTGACTTACAAGTGTCCCGACTAACGAGTTTTTTGAGATACCAGCTGTCTCTCCGAGATTTTTTTGCATTGAGTTGATAGAGTAATTTGAGTTAACGAGCTCCTTAACGAGCTTGGTCTCAGAACGAATTAAACTGGTAAGTCAAGGCCCCACTGTATCTCTAGATACTCTAGCCTTTGCCCACTTAAAAACGTTTGATAAGTCTCTTTAAGTCTGTTTAACTAGAGGTCAGCTTCCATCCCTTTCTTTTACTTATGGCTTAGCTTTTGAAAAACCAGACTGTTAACATGTAGAGATTCTCCTAGTCTGGATTTTGCTGATCTCATAATGCGTATTTATTTGTCGGACTATGAGACATGTCTTCTCACCTACTATTTGGTTACTCATAAATATAGTTCATTTAGGAAAGACAGGATAAATGCTTGATTCTTTCTCTTTATCATTGGGTAATGAATCAGTTCCCTATGACCTTCAGATATGACCAGCTAGAGGTTTTGTGTGTGTGTGTGTTTTAATGAATCATTATGGACCTAGGTATTTAAGCAGCTTTTAAAAATATAATATACATTAGGAATTCATACTGATGATTTCCAACTAAAATGCAGGGCTACAGGAATTTTACTAAATCTCTTCCATATTCAAATCTCTTTCCTTCCAAACAGTACAGTGGGGCCTTGACGTACGAGTTTAATTCGTTCCGAGACTGAGTCGTTAAGGAGCTCGTTAACTCAAATTACTCTGTCAACTCAATGCAAAAAATTGGCCCAGAGACAGCTGGTATCTCAAAAAATTCGTTAGTCGGGACACTTGTAAGTCAAGGCCCCACTGTATTCTGGTTTCCAAAGATGCAGGGGACTATAGAATTAGAATGCTCCATGGTTATTGTTACCTTTATCCCACGTTACACATACAGTTACCCCAGAATAACCACCACCACCAGTGTAACTACTTAAAACAGTAAATTTTGCTTTTTGAGTGTGCTTTCCTCATTCTTCCTCTATTAAAAAAAATAGTAATACTATAGATTGTCTGAGTATAGAGCCATTCCATATTATACCTTCCCTTTTAACCATATGTAGTTTCTACAAGAAACTATATGCAATGCTCATCACCAGCATTGTGTTGATAAATCTTGAGTCATTTGGATTGTCAAAGCTCATTCTCTAGTTTAGATTCCTTAGGAATGGTTCATGGGAACAATATTCCCTGAGTTCATAGTTATAGCATCCTATATAATAAAAAGGTAATTTGCAAATTGACCCTAATAGCAGAACGACTGGGAATGACTGGTCACTATGACACACACTGACCACCAGGAGGCAGATGCTGAATGCAGGAGCTGTCCCCTGGTGGTCATTACGCTCCCACATGGGGAGCTCTGCTCAGCCACAAGTCAGCACAGTGGTGGTGGCTGGAGCCTCTTCAGCCTCCTCAGCAGCGCTAAGGATGTCCAACTGCAGCTTAGGCCTGCTCCCCGCTGGCAAGTGGACATCCCCGGAGGGCTCTGGGCTGCCAGAGGGATGTCTGACTGCCAGCTTAGGCTCAATCCCCCCCTCCCCCCAGGGAGCGGGCCTAAGCCATCAGGTAGACATCCCCAGAGGGGTCCCAGACTGCATGAGGGCACAGGTCTGCTCACGGACTGCGAGAGGTTGCAGGCCAGGCTGAGGACCCCTCGAGTGCAAAATTTTTGTGCACTGGGCCTCTAGTATACTTACAAAACTTATAGATGGTTTATTATTGTACTTATTTGAACTCTTTATAATTGATAATCAGTCTTGCTAGCTATAAAAAATCCTTGCTTGTGTATCTTAAATATGTATTGTTTTCTTTTGGCATAAAGTGTTACTTGCAAAAGGGTCTAATAATAATTGAATTTTCTTTTTCTTTCAATCCAGTAGTTTTACCTCTGTGTCACATCTGGGTTTATATTCTCAGGTGTGTGGTGTGTTGTTTCAATATGTTGTTTGGAATCTGTGTTTAAGGAAAGCTTTCTTGAATACAGTCTTTGATATTCTGTTGTCTTTGGTTTTCCCCTTCAGTGTCTCCTATTATCATTTTAGCATCACAGTCCTCTTTCCACAGTTTGATTGCTGTTTGTCTGTCTGTTTTGCAGCTACCCAGAGCTGAAGCCTGTGCAGTCCATCAATGCGCACCCTTCTAACTGCATCTGCATCAAGTTTGACCCCACGGGGAAGTACTTTGCCACAGGAAGTGCGGATGCTTTGGTCAGCCTCTGGGATGTGGATGAGTTAGTGTGTGTTCGGTGCTTTTCCAGGTAGGCGACTCGCCAGCACTTGCCTTGGATATTTTATTTCATTTTATTTCATTTTGGGCGAAATTGTGCCTTCTTATTGGGTTATTTAAAGTCTTCTTCAATTACAGTTGACATTCAATGTTAGATTAGTTGTAGGTATACAGTGTAATGGTTACATATTTATAGAACTGACAAAGTGTTCTCCCTGATAAGTCTAGTACCCCCTGACACCATACACAGTTATTACAATATTATTGACTATATTCCCTGTGCTGAACTTTCCATCCCTTATTATTGGGTTATTCTAATCTCTCCTTTGTCTACTCTTCTTTGTCTGCTTTCTCCTTAGGCTGGATTGGCCTGTGAGGACCCTCAGTTTCAGCCACGATGGGAAAATGCTGGCTTCAGCATCAGAAGATCATTTTATTGACATTGCTGAAGTAGAGACAGGTGACTAAAACCTTCCTATTTTAACAAGAACCTTCTGTCCTTCATCTCTGGCCATCAGGACCTTTCCTGTCATGTGTTTTTATTTCTGCACATTACTCCATCAGTATTAGCGTCAATGAATGTGTCTCCTTAGACAAGTTCATTTATTACAACTGTTACAGTCAGGTAATGAGGGAACAAAGAGTTAGGAAAGGCAGGGGCAGGTCTGAAGAAAAGCGATTTAGGAAAATATTTTGTATTTTATTAACTTGGAATTCTTTCATTATAATGAAAAATTTACAATACAGGAAGGTAGGACCTCTGGTCCCACCATTTACTAGTAATTGCTACCTCTTTTTAGCATTGTAATATATTTCTTTTTATCTTTTGCCTGTATGTGAATATATATGTGTGTGTGTATATACATACATATGTATATTTGTACTTTAAGGAATTATCAAAGTAGGTGCGATGTGCTTTAAAAATAACAAAACAGAACTTGCAAATAGAAAAATGGGAGGAGTGTAATCATTTTATAAAAGAATTTCCTCAGTTTTATTTTTTAAAGTAGCTGTATTATTTTGGAAATACATGATACATTAGTAAAAGAATTAAAACTATGTAGAAAACTTCAGAGAAGTAGTAAAAAACTTGAAACTCCACGATTTAAAGAATGCCGCTGTTGGTAACATCAGGGGAACATGGTCCAGCCACCCAGACATGCAGCTCCCGTGATGCTGGGTACTCGCCTGTATTCTGGGACCCTGCCTCACCTGCAGAATGTCACAGCTTCTCAGTGCGGCGGCTGAGTCACTGCCACTCTGAGTGGGGTTAGAATTCATTCTCTATACTGTCTCATTCTGTGTGCTGTCAGGTGGCTTTTAATTGTCGCACCGTTACCAATAATGCCGTGATGAGTGTCCTTGTTGTACTTGATTTTACTTATGTGATCATCCTTTTGGGTAAGCCATTGAAGTGGGATTGCTGAGTCCTAGTTGTTCACATTGTGTGAAGGACCAAACCACCGCACAAAAAATTACTGCCGCTTTGCTCTTAGCATCAGTGTGTGCGTGTACTGGTTTTTCTCATGCCGTCTTTGTGCAAGTTTAATTTTCTATCTTACCTAATATATGTAAAATACAATTTAATTCATAGTACTCTTTCAGGAATATATTGAATGTAGCTCTATTAACTTTTTCTAAATGCTTTAACAAATATATTTTTTGGGATTATAATTTTTTAGTTATAGTTGACATACAGTACTATTTAGACAAATACTTTTAAACATGGATTTTAAACAGAAATTTTCTCGATAACCTCAATTAAAAATTAAAAGCAAGATAATAAAGCAAAATTATATTATTTTACAGCATTTTTATATACAAATGGGAAACAGTCTAATTTCATTATGAAATAAGTTGTGATACATCCATATTACAGTGTGCCAAGAGAAATGGAAGATGCGTGAGGCATAGTACTGAATGATGAATGAGCAAAGCAAGTAGTCAGCCATGCATAGGATATGTTCCCATTTAGGTAAAGAAAATAAAGTGAAGTTGGTAGGAAAACATTTAGAAGAATTTATCTCAGACTTATAAGATTAAGGGAAGACTAAAATAGGAGAAGATAATAAACTTAAATTACCGATTATTACTGAAACCAGTTAAAACAAAATTAAAAATTGAGTTCCTCAGTCACCCTAGGCACATTGCAGGGACTCAGTAGCCCATGTGGCCAGTGGGAGCTGTATTGTTCAGTGCAGATAGAGAATGTGTCTATCACAGACATGTTTGTTGTATGGTACTGCTCTGTACCCTTGACCTGTTTGAATTTTAAGTCTTCATATAGTAGTTTGTAAAATAAGAGTAATACATGTTCATTATAGAATATTTGGAAAATGCTAACAAATTCGAAGGAGCAATTAACAGGCACATATTGGTCCATAATTTAGAGATAATCATTGCTAACATCTTAACATCTATCCTTCTGGTCTTTCTTTTCCTCCTATATGCATATGTATTTTTTTCTGTTGTTGGAATCATATGTTACATGTAATTTTGTATTTCACATATATATGTATGTACATTTTAAGATGTAAATATATGTAAATATGTAAATATAATGTATCTTTTTTTTATTGATTTCAGAGAGGAAGGGAGAGGGAGAGAGAGATAGAAACATCAACGATGAGAGAGAATCATTGATCAGCTGCCTCCTGCATGCCCCACATTGGGGATCGAGCCTGCAACCTGGCATGTGCCCTCCTAGTTCATAGGTCCATACTCAACCATATATTATATATAATAACATATATAATACAACCTCATTTTAACACATTGCGTACCACATAGAAATCTCTAAGACATACGCCAGGGACCACACGTTTTTGGGCAAACTGCACGTTATTTAAATCATCATAATGCACTTTAGGTGTTGTTTTTCAATAGTTATAACATTTTTATTTACAAAAACAAAGTTCCTAGTACTTTTTTAATGTATGGTACTGCGTAAAACATTTTTCTTTATGAAGAGGGACCAAACAAAATTTACATAAGTATCTACATTCACTCCTTTTTCCATGGGCGTGAAAAACGAGAACACTCGTAAGTGGTCCGTAACAGATGGTGCGCGAAACACGAGAAAACTCCTGAGCGGTATGAAATGTGTTAATATAGTCCACTTAATTTTCAGCTTTTCAGACACACCCATACACACTGCATCAGCCTATTGAAACTTTGATGGTCTGGAATAGTAATGTCAGCCTCACAGTCAGCACTGATTTATCATTCAAAGATTAAACTTTCCAATAAACTGAGACGGTGTTAAAGTCTATGAAGCCACGTGGTTATTTGGGAAATTTTAGGCCTCTTCATGTCTACTCTGATTTTCTTGAACTATATAAATTTCTTTTATCAGTCCCATATCAAATGACATGGAGTTAAAGGCGTAAAGAGAAATGAAGGAGGAGTAGTACACTTTGCAACCATTTTTGTGTCTCTGTAACTCAGAACTTTGCTCAGACATAGATATAGGCTGCCAGATACTAGCATCATGAAAAGTGGTTAGCTGTCCCAGAAATAGAATTTCTCTCTCTCTCCCTCCCTCCTCCCCTCCCTCCCTTCTTCCTTCCCTCCCTCACTTACTTTGTTTTTCCACATACACAAGTATATATGAAACAGCTTTATGGACATAATTCACGTACCATAGTTGGCTAGTTTGAAGTAGACAGTTGAGTGTATTCTGCATTTTTAAATTGGCACCACACTGTAAATGTTTTACTACATGCATCTTAATCCTAAGGTTGAAAAAAAGTTAAGCAGGATTAAAGGAATAATAGCTTTAGAAAATCATGTTTAATTTCAACAAGTGGGAGGAATATGTTTTTGGGAGAAAGAGCTTGTATCACTCTTATTAGAAGGCATTGAGATTTAGTAGATGGATCTGCTGCCTGGAAACAGATTGACTTCATGTGTTGACTTCGTTGCTTCCTTGAGATGTGATTTAGCTGTTAAGTCACTCGTTTCTTTATAAAATGGTGTTTAAAACCATTACCTGTCTTGCTGGGTTGCCATTATACTTTATGGGAATAAAGGGTAGTCCATGTGGTTCATTGGATGCTCAGTGAACATCAGTGTCTGCTCACTGTTTTCCCACGGAGTGTAGGCTCTTCCGTTAACCGGTCGGCGTTCAGGACCTGCCCTGCCACCAAATGACTTGTGACCTCTCCCCGCCTCAGTGTTCTCTGTAAAGTGGGCTAATGATTGCGTCTGTCTCATGGGGCTATCAAGTGGATTAAATGAGTCGATATAGCTAAGTACTTAATGAGTGTGTTCCCTTACTAATGTATTGATTGGTTTCTCTATATTGATTTTTATAGGAGACAAGCTATGGGAGGTGCAGTGTGAGTCTCCGACCTTCACTGTGGCTTGGCACCCCAAAAGGCCTCTGCTGGCATTTGCCTGTGATGACAAAGATGGCAAATATGACAGCAGTCGGGAAGCAGGGACTGTGAAGCTATTTGGGCTTCCCAATGACTCCTGATTAGGAGGACCTGGCGTGGGGGACAGTGAACTAAAATTAGTTTGGTCTGTCTCTCCGAGTTGGTGTGCACCTATAGTATTTGTACATTGCTATAATTATAAAAGTCTTTTTTTCAGGCTGCCCATTCCAGTTGCCTTCTTGTTGGTCATGTTAGCAGTTCCTTTTCCTTCTCTCCTGCGTGAGGGCTCTGCAGTGTGGGTGATGACACCAGCATACCTTGTCCTCTGGGGATCGCCTGTCCTGCTTTTGGGTACAGGGTGACTTCATTGGACTTGCTTCTGCTTGGACACTACCTAGTTTGGAGGGTGGGTGGGAAAGGGTGAGGTGGGGGTCCTAGCCAGATAGCTCAGTTGCTTAGAGCGCCGTGCTGTCCCAATACGCCAGGTTTGATCTCCGTTCAGGGCACATACAAGAAGCAACCAATAAATGCATAAATAAGTGGAACAACAAATCGATGTTTCTCTCTTTTCCCTTCCTCCCTCATTCCCTCCTCCCTCCCTCTAAAATCAATTAATTAAAAAAATAAAGAAGAATATTGGGGATAGAGATTTTTTAAATAATTAAATACATATAATTTTGAGAATTGAATAATAAAACTGACTTTTTTATTATGAGACTTCTAGGACTTCTTAAACTATGGTATTATGATGATATTACAGGAAGATACTTCAGTTTTTCATTTAGAAAAAAATCTCAAGTAGAATTTAAAGGTGGTAATCTGTTATTTACTGTCCTAACCCAAGAACTCTGAAATGCAGGGGCAGGATGTGAAGTGTGTGGGCAGTAGCAGTCCTTTGAGTCAGCAGTTGTTCGTATGTATGTGTATGTCTACCTGGCCTCGCTCTTCAAATTTGTGATAAACACTGGGAAAAGTAGTAACATACAAATAAGAACTACAAAATCAGGTCATTAAAAACTCGGGTTAAGAAATAGAAATTAGAATAGAAAGAATTAAAATAGAAACATTCAAAAAAAAGGAGTCAATTGAATGGTTGAACTAAAATTTTGACTCTGCACTTCCTGGTGGCAAAGTGAAGAAGCGGGTAAGTCAGCGAATTTTTCTGAAAAAGAAAAGCACATGCCAGCTCCTTGGGGAGCCAGGCTGTTGTTAGCGCTGACCTCCAAAGGAAATGGCTCACACAGGGATTCTTACTGGTGAGTAATATTTAGACTTTATTGTATTTTAATGTATTTCAGCATAAAAAGTAGGAATATACCTCAGTAAGCGATATTTGTAGAAAATTTCGGAAAAAGCAGGTAAGCAAAAAGACCAGTCATATTCCCAGCATTTTAGTGTATATGCTAGGAGTTTTCCTGTGCTCATATTTACACACAAAAACGTGTGTAGCTTTATAAACATCTTGAAGACAAGTCAAGTATGACAAGATAATTATGCAAGGTGCTCGGCACAGTGTTGGGCAGTATTATAAACAATGAGTCTTAGACATTTTTAGTTACTGGCCATTCCCTCTGTGCCTGGCACTGTAATGAGCACTTTATATCAGCTGTTACTCAAGTTTTGCGGAAGCCTACTGAGGCTGGGTATTAGGGAGCTTAAGTTACTCAGTGTTACTCACGAAGTGACGACGTTCAGGTGCCTTCTGTTGCAGTGACTTCTGTTTTCACGTGCGTTTCCATTTTACAGAAGAGGAAACCATGGCTCTGAGCAGTCAGCTCGGCCTGGGTTAGTGCCTGATTGGTTGCATCCAGTCTCAGGGTCAGTAGTGTTTCCTCCAGCTGCCAGAACAGCCTCTGCCTCCACCTTTCCGGAAAAATGGTCTTTTCAATTGCAAACAGCGTGCCACCTCCTTACGTCAGAGGTTCAGTGCTCACGTCACTGGAGTGAACTTTGGTGCGTTGTTTCTTGATTTGGCAATTGCTTGTTATTTCTCTGGTTGCTGCCATGTTTTCCCGTATATGTCCCCTTGGCATCAGAACCAGGTGCTGCAAGTTTAGATTCTTGATATTTGATCGGTTCCCTCCTCTTCCATCCATGTGGACTTTCCCCCTGGGTTTTGTAAAGTAGTGATCCCTGCCGCCCATCACTTCAACATGAGATTGTGGCTTTCAGCTAGGGGGGATGGGCTCTTTAGCGTCAGGAAAACACCCCCGAAGGAGGAGCTCCAGCTCGTGGTTACCTTCACTGACTGTCAAGGTCTTGCTGACATTTCTGTTGAGCTTCAGAGCCCTGGAGGGGCTCCTTCGTGGAGAAATGACAGGATTCATCCCAGACCTGGGACCCCCTGTGGTTTGAGTGAGGTTTCCTTCAGAGCAGGAAGGATGCCATTCACAAGCACAAGTGGCCATTCATTATTCAGTAAGTCTAGGGCTGTCAGTCACTGCTCCAAACACCAGCCAACCAGAAGCGGGTGGTGAGGTCAGCCCTGATCTAGACTTCACTGGGCAGGGAAAGTCACATGTGCTGGGCCAGTGACCCATGGCTGTGATGACTGGAAGTCAGGCTAAGACGTAGGTAGTTACGACTCTCGTCTCTTGCTGAGCACCTGGATTCTCTGGGGCATGAGGTCCAGGAAGGAGACAACCTGCCAAATGGTAAGCTGGTGTGAGACGTATGTGTGTGCCTTGAGGGTGGTTTCCTTCACCCTCACCTGTCTAGGGTCAGGCTGTGCAGCAGGGGGTGGTGTTGGGAGGCTAGAACAGGGGGTCCTGCTCAGAGGCCATCAGACCAAGGAGCAGGCTGTGTGCTCCATGTCGGGCTGAGGTGTGGAGTACCCACCACAAGGCGAATTGGAAAGAGGCCAATTCTTGAAGGTCCCAGAACAAAGCAGTGTGCTGTGTGTATGTTCTGAGTTGGTTGCGGTGTAATTATGGGTGGGTCCCATTGAAAATGACCAGAAATGGGGTAGAAACAATGTTAATCTCTTTCCTGTGACAAAGATGGATTCTAATCCCTAAGGATTTTAGTCACAAAAGGGACCATGGAATGTCTGCCCTCTTGGGAAGGATAACAGCCCATAAATGGAATTAAAGGTAAGCCCTGTGTTTCAGAAGGGGAATAGAGTTCGTACAAATGGAAGTGCATTGCACACTCAGACATACCTGTATATAGGTGAGGCTTCCCTTCTTTTCTCCCTCAGACACTGGTGCAGTGGGATTAAGGCTGGCTTCATACTGGAACAGAACCGGAATTGGGTCTCGGCTCCGGCAGTGACTGATCTGTACCACTTTCCTTATTCATAGAGGGGATGACGAATCCTCTTGTCTTTGGGTTGTTAGGATAATTAAACGAGATGAAGTATTTGTGAAGTGTCTGCCACAGCACCTGGCATGCAGCTTCTAATGAGAACACAGGCTGGCAGTGGAGACCAGTCATCAGTCCATCAGCCTTCTCAGCTCCAAATGCCAGAGTTGAGGGGCCACGTTAATCATTCCAGGAGTTGGTGCTGTGAAGGGAACAGAGCTGTCCATCACACCCTGGGCATGGCGCAGGTCAGAGGAGAGAGATTGGATCTGCTTTCTGCTCCCGTCTGGGTCCATGATGGATGGGTGCATGCTAACAGTGGAGCATCAGTCAGAACTGAACACTAGTGGCGGGAATAGGAGTCAGGGAGGGTAAAGCTCTTGTTTGCTGAGGTTGCTGGGAAAGGATAGGGGTGGGGTGGGGGTGGACTTAGAGCAAGTAGAGAATATGAATATAGGGCAGAGGACACGGAAGGGGTGCTGCAGCTTGGAGCAAGCCGAGGTGTCGATGGTGCCCTGGGCTGTGGGGTCGATGGTCAGATGGAATAGGAGATGGCGTTGGAGACAAAGGGAGGGAGGGTGTCAGGCTCGGGGCTCTTTCATTTTGCACTGGTCGGTAGAGTTGCCTGATAAGCAGGGAAGAGCAGGAGAGACCTCAGGTCAATTCCTTGTTCTGCCACCACTAATAGAGAGACTGGCCAAATCACTTCACTCCCGTAAGCTGCAGTTGGCTGAGTTCTGTGATGTTCATAATAATATGAGGGTTAAGTGAGTTGATATATGTTAAATGCCTGGTAGACTGTGGATGTTCAATAAATAGCTATTGTACAGGTGTTTATACCATATCTGTAGTGCAATATAAACCTTTTTACCTTCTTACCTTTCATTGTCCCCTAAGCTTATCTCATTTGGCACAATAAAGGATGGGGGTAGGGTGGAATTTGGAGAAAATGAGTATTTAACACATTGTCTAATACCCATTTCTAGAGCTTAGTCTCTTTATTTCATTTAGGGATACTAAATTGAGAACTAGTCATTCAGTAATCACCAGTTTACTAGCAGTTTATATGTTTGAAATTGTTGCTGACATGGAGCCACCAGCTATTGAACTTCAAGGTCCAGCATCTTAGCCTGTCACCCCTTTGGAGAAGCAGGCAGAGTGTGAAAACATGGCCCTAACCTGCAGTGTCATAGCAACAAAGTTACTGGGTGCTACTTGCCCTGGCTGGATTGTCATCGGGGCTCCCTGGGATCACCCTGGATTTGCCAAGAAAATGTTGCTCAATTCACCTAGTTTCCTTTTACTGTCTACTAAAGACTAGAATGTAGGTCAGGCGATGGCACAGATACAGCCAGGAATCTGTGAGAAGATTTCAAGATGTCTTGAGGACCAAAGGAGAGCGGAGCTGGGCACGGCTGGTTCCCAGAGGGGATTCATGTCAGCGTGGAGGAAAGTCCCTCCTGAAATGGGCATCGCCCTGGAGTTCTGGAAGGTGACCAGGCCTGATAATTGATCAGACGTATATGATGGGCTGCATCTCGGGTGGCGGCTGAAGAGCTATGCTCACTACTGAGTGGAGGGGAGGCCCTCTTTTTTTTTATACTATATTTTTATTGATTTCAGAGAGGAAGAAGAGGGGGAGAGAGAGAGAGAGAAACATCAATGATGAGAGAATCATTGATCGGCTGCCTCCTGCATGTCCCCTACTGGAGATCAGCCCGCAACCCAGGTTTATAGTGCCCTTGACCAGAATTTAACCTGGGACCCTTCAGTTCGCAGGCTGAAGCTCTATCCCCTGAGCCAAACCAGCCAGGGCAAGGGAAGGTCCTCTTTGTAGGAAGGAATCATTGCTGGAGTGGTCAGATGTCTGAGCTTCCTCTGAGTGCTGGGTACTATAAACGAGGGAGAAATCAGACTATACTGTACTTGGACCCATTTTACAGATAAAAACCAAGGTTTAGGGAGGTTAGGGAACTTGCCCAGGGTCAGGTGGTCCAGTTTTGAAACCCACTGTGTTATGTCCTGTATGTGAGTCCAAAATCCCAAATGTTTAGGTTCAGCCTAGTCTCGACGTGGCTTAACAATCACAGAGGTGTAAAGGGTAGGAATCTGAGAGGGTTGTTAACCATCAAAGCTGGGGTTTGTCTGGTGCTTTCTGGCAAAGATGCCGATGGGCAGAAACCAGAGAAGAAAGGTAAAGCCCTCCACCCTCAGCGACCCACAGAGGTAGGCGGTGTAGCCCTCAACTC